ACCCAACTTCACTTTACTCAGTAAAGTAAAGTAACTCTACTTTACTTCACTCGATAAAGTAAAGATAAAGTGCCACCCCTATATAGATGATTTGTCTCGCGTCTGATGATCTGCAAATTGCTCATAGTTCCCATTTACGTGTGACTTCGACTAATGATTTTCGAGAAAATAAGTGAAAAAAAGACATCTCGTGGCGGTATATTTCGAAGAGGCGCTGGAGGATGTCACTGCTCCCTTCCTACATAGTTTTGCATTTTTCTCGACGAAAACGCTCAAATATGAACCAAAACGACTTTCGATAGAGTTCAAAGCACAATTTGTGAACATGGTGGCCCCTGTCACTATTATCTCGCTCATATTTGAATCGAAATAGAAAACTTATAACTTTTTGTTATCTTCATATCTTACATATAATCTGAAGTAAAACCAACAAAAAAGCAATAACATAAAGAGAATAGGATTGTTTAGTATAGCTAAAAGCTGAACTATTATTCTAATGATTACTATCTTAGTTTTTTGCTTACAAAATCATGACTTCAAGGAGTTCTCCAATAAAACCAAATTTTCGTCGAAAATTTTTTTTTAAGATAACCACATGAACCTGTTTTCCAATTTCCTAATGTACGAATTTGCAAAAAACACTTGCAGTTCTTAAATTTTTGGAGAGTTTTATCAATGATCTTTGAAACTATTTGTACAAATGATGAGGTTTAAAGCAATACATGAAGGTACTTTATACAAGGAGATCTACCAAATAAACAACTATTTCTCATTGATGATCAAATCTTGAGCATCTTAGAGACACATCTTTGCCACCTACCATGAGTTCCGGGTGTGCCTATAAATTTTTTTCTGAACCTAGACCCACCGCCATACATGCCCTCTTACATTAATGTAACATGACGAATTTATATGCTCAAGATGTTTTATAGTATTCTTAAAGTGTTGATTCTATTGTAGATTAAGCAAGAAACCATTATTCTTTTTTCCACCTCTGCATCACTTTATTAAGCTAAAACTAACAATATGGACAACAACCGAATGGATGTGGGTGGGAGCGGGATATGTGTGGGAGCGTGGATGTGTTGGAATGGATGTACGTCCTATGTTCATCAATACCCACATCGCAAGGCGCGCCCACACCTACAGCCACATTCACCCACACCCACACTCACACTCTGCTCGGGGTCGAAAAAATATCGGGAAAGATGTCTGCAGAAATCATCAGTAACTGAAAGTATATAGCCTACTTTCAGGTAAATGTGAGTGACTTATCATTTACCTGGAAGTATCACCACTCGTCACCTGATTGATGTTGAGTACTATCGTTTACTGGTAAATGGTAAGTATTCATCACCTACTACTTACCGATAGGTCATAAGTGGTGCCACCTACATGTTATTGATAACAGTAGTTGGAATGTGACACTCCTGGTGCCATGACTGCACAACTGTTCACAGGAGCACTCTTTTGTGAAATACGATCTAAAAACAGTGTTGAGGGATACGGGGTAGAATTTTGGAGCCCTACACAGACCGTTACAGACAAATTAAGTAATTAGTTACATAGTGAACGAATTAAATAATTAATTAGAGAACCAACTAATTAACTAAAGACTTAAAGTAATTAGATAATTAATTATTCTATAATCAATAGGGTGAGTGTGGGTGTGAATGTGGAGGTGTATGGATGTGGATGTGCATGTGAGTGTGTGGGTGTGCGTATGCGTGTGAGTGTTCATTTGAAGTAGGCGCACACCAAACGAATACTCACACCCAGACCCATGCTCACATCCACCCACACCGACACCTACACGTACATCCGCGTCCACATCCAACCCGCACCTGCATTCACACCCACATCCCGTTCTGGTTTGAAGGATGCGTAGTACGCAAAAGAAACACCGTTATCGTCGTAAAGCATCATAATTGTTTTTTTATAACGCGATGATGAAGGATGCTCACATCGAAATACATAAACTACTGTGCACCACAGAGTATATCTCTTGCAACTGGAGGCGCATTCCAACTCAGCAACATGATAGAATTTTTTTCTGGCATAACATGAATTACTTTGATAATCTCATGTACTCAAAATGTAGAAAGCTCTTATGTTGCCTATAGAATGCAGAATGATTTAAAACATTATAAAGTAGAGGTTAAAATTAAAAAAAAACTAAAAATTGAGTCAAACCAAAAATAATAAATTTGGCTTTTTGTGGTCGTCTTGATATCGAACTAAAAGGTAGGACCTAGCTTTTCTTATCCGTATCTCGTAGTAACATTCTCCCATGTACCTTGATACCCACCAGAAATTCCACTACCATACGAGTCAATTGTTATCAGAACTTTTTAAATCAAACTAAAAACGAACCCAATAGTCAAATACATGAGCATTTGCGATGGTTTGTATTAAAAATGGATCCTTGGAAAAATTTTCAGAAAATTCACCTTTAAAAGCTTTTATGGTGAAAGTGACGGAGCGATGGCGAAGCAACTTTTTAGCTGCCCCGTCCATCTCTGGCAGCCATATTGTTTCACATTTCATTCCCACAGGGATTGCACTAACAGGTTTTTTGTTGCAGATACTTTTTAGAATGGGAAATAAACTTGATAGTAAAACTCAGCTACAACGGCGAAAAATTGAGCATTCACAAGAGGGTGTAGCTAGTGAATTTTATTGGGCATGTCGTACTGGTGATATTGAGCTAGTTAAAGCGATGATACCATACATACCATATGATCAACTAAACCAATTAGAACCTAATGGTAGTACACCCCTCCATGCAGCTTCGTTTTTCTGTCATGCTGATGTTGTTCGCCTGCTTTTACACGACTATGGTGTTCAAAGATACTATCTGAACCGGCATGGTCTATCTGCTTATGAAGAAGCACAAACAGAGGAAATAAAACAAATATTTCGACGACCATCAAATCGGTTTTTCGATGTAGAAGAGACTATTGAAGACATATTCGATATTCTCTCTGTAAAATCAAATGAAATAGACAACAATAATAGCGATTCAGCTAGTGAAGATGATAATGAAGAAAACACAAATGAAACTCCGAGTACATGGATTCAAGGTTTTCGAACAAAAGAAGAAATAAAACAAGAAAAATACTACTATTGCAAAGGTAAGGCTTTAATCCAATCAAGAATTGGTCGATTTATTATGCGAAATGGGCCCAAGTTTTGCAGTCACTGTCGAAAAAATAAAGAAGTCATGAGTGAATTTATTTCTTATTTCAATGATCGAGAATTTCGGGTAAATAAATTGCAAGCCATTGTTGATGAATATGTAACACCAGATCATCCTGAGTATAATAAATGTAAAGAATTATTGGATGATTACTCAGAACAAGAAAGTGTTTGTTCTCTACTAAAACTTTATACATTAGAAACTGAATTTTATAAAAAAATTAAAAAAAGTTGTCAAGCTATTGCTTGGTCATTATATATAATATTACCTGATTTAAAAGAACGATATTATCAAGGCTTATCTTACCGTGGTTTACAAATGACAGAAAAAGATCTTCAAGAGTACCGATGGGCATTGAAAAATCCAGACAGCCTTATTAAAACAAAAACATTTTCATCTACATCAATAGAGCGTGCCGAAGCTGAAAAATTTGCTTGCACATCAGATCCGAATCAATTAAGTGTTTTAATGATATTTCATTTTCCTCAAGTCTCAGATATGGCAATCAATTTAGGACAAATAGAGGATAACAAGTTACGTGCTGTATCTGAATATGAAAATGAAAAAGAAGTTTTGATTCTTCCACAGACATTTTTCCGTGTTCAAAATGTTGAATTCGATACGGAAAAACATCAATATGCAATTTATTTAGAAAATCTTGCATTACATAAAAGCTCACTGATCAGTGCATTGAAGTTTATGATTTATCGAGATGAAGAAACAAAATTAACGGCTTACTATACTGAAAACAGATTTTGATTACAATGAGATAAACTAAGATATTCGGAACTTCCAAAGCTCCATAGTTGAAGAACTTTTTTAAAGAAATGTTTTGTTATATTTTAAAGTAACGCATTATCAAAAAAATTTGTGAGTATCTGTGCAAAGACGACAACCCGTAATAAGACGGGTGTGGGTGTGGGTGTGGGTGGGTGTTGGTGTGGGCGTGGGTGTGGGTGTGGGTGTGGGTGTGGGTGTGGGTGTGGGTGTGG